GTTTACCGTTCTATATTCCTTCGCGGCGGTTCCATTAAAAATTTTCACCGGCTTAGCCGGCTCCGTTGAATATTCGCGGGGGGTTTTTATCCGTTTAAATACCGAAGAAGAAAGGAGAGACGGCGGCCGGAGCGCGGTCACGGGGCTCCGCCGACTGTATTTTATCGCGGCCGCTGAATCCCCCGCTAGACGATACTTTATTCACCGTGAATCGCGCGGATTTAATTTCACGCCGCTTTACGGCCCCGTCCCGTGTTTACGGTTTGTAATTACGTTTGATGCCGAAACGACCGTGGCGGCGCGGCGGGGATAGGCGGAGAGCGAAAAAGAAAAACGCGAAGTAAGAGGAAGCGGGGGGAAAAAATGGGGACCTATAGGAAAACGTTATTGATTAAACCGGAAGACCGCGGCGGCGGCGGCGGCGGCTCTTGATCCTTCGTAGCCACCGGGATCGGTTTCCCGGCGCGGGACAAAAACGATCCTCCGTCTCCGCCCCGCCTCGTCCTTCTTCGCAGGCCGCCGGGAATCGCGATGTCCCCGGGGCGTCGAGCCTTGATTATTCGTTGCTTCGCGTTTCCTTTGTTGGCCGGGCCGGCCCTGATTGTCAACCGCATGCACCGCGAACGTTTAATTCTATGCGTGACGTTAATTGTTGTCGGAGAACCTGACGAGCACCGTTTACCCTTTTCAACTACGCCCCCTACTCACCCCCCTCTTTTTAACCCCTCGCTGCACCGCGCTTTGTGCATCACCCGCGGATCAGCCGGTCTCGTGACTACGCCGTCGTGTTTCCGCGGTGTTTAAGGCGACACACGTCTTCCCGCGGCGTTCGTTCAAGGGGATGGTCCCGTTCAAACCGTCGAATGTCGAATTTTTCTGAATTTTTTTTATTTCAAACGTTTCTCGAATCGATTTCGCTTAGAATTTGTTTCGATCGCAGTGGTTCATTCATTTCGATTAACGCTGAAAATTCCTCAACTTTGAACACGCATAACTTTCGAACCGATAAATTCCTAGATTCGGGACTTGGATTTTCGGTGTTCCAGCGGCGAAATCTACGGGAATATGTCTTAAAACATAAAATAATTCGGGTCCCCTAAAAAGAAGTTAAGGAAAATTAACGAGTAAAATCGAATTCCTGTGGAATTATGATTCCTGAGGTCATTGGAAGTAACTTTTTCCTTTACAAAAATTTTCTCCGAGGCACCGTTAACGAGTTATTAAAGGAAAACAATAGTCCATGAGAGGCGAGCTCGGCAGCCGCGAGACGGCTGGGCGGCGACCGCTCGGTAGCTTTTTCGTTAATAACTCGTAAACGAAGCCGCGGATTGCATTTTCGCTAAGGAAAAAGTTGCTCCAAATGACCTCAGCAATCACTCCTTGCCGAGTGTTAACATAATTATGGAATAACCTGTATACAAATAATACGGTGTGGGGAAAAAAATCACAGAATCTCCATAATAATAAAATAATTGTTTTCTCGCGTCTCGGACAAAATCCGGAGGCACGGAGGCTCCTTATCGCGCTTTTATTCCGGATTACCGGTCACGTTATTTCGGCAGCCATTAATCCCGTCGACGCGCTCGTTTTTCTTGTTACAGAGATCAAGGACCCCTGCGCGAAGCTGAACTGCACCCTAGGTTCCCAATGCGTACGAAGTAGGGACGGCACCGAGGCCTCCTGCGAATGCTTGGAATCCTGCCCGAATTTAGGGGATCACGAGGGATCAGGTCCTGTCTGCGGTACAGATTGGATCGACTATCCGTCTCTCTGCGAGCTAAACAGAGAGGCCTGCGCGAAGGGTGCTAATATCACTGTGGCATTCCAGGGAAAATGCGGTGAGTATTTTTCATGAGACTTCAACGCGAACGCGTTGACGTATCGTCGCCGTTATTACGACGTCACCGCGCGTCACAGGAGATCGCTTCTTTCGCGGAGTTATCGAACCGAATACGAGCCATCGAACTGTCAAATGTCCACGATCCTTTCTCTTTCCCGTATAAAATATTCGTTTCACTTTTTCTGACGCGGTCAAATTTTTTTTCTATCGTTTTTCGTTACTTTTTCGATATATTTAAAAACAAAATTGTTTTACGATATTTACACATTCTTTCTAAGGACATACTTTTTTTAAAAAATTGCACCAAATGACTTGAATTTGTTTAACATGTTAGAAGAACTAGTTCATCGAAGAAGAAGTGGAATAATTTTTGCAAAAATTACAATTGATAGAAGACTGTATAATTATAAATGTTAATAGTATCTCGGCTATATTTTTATCATGAACAATCGGTCACACCTTGTAGCTCCGCAGTTTTTCTTGACTTCGACGATCCCCAGCATCGATGTAGCAATAAATACCATAGGCGCAGGACTGGCGCAGGGAAATTCAGAGCGACCCGAAATTTGGCATTTCCGGGAGAAATAATCGTATCGTCGAAAGAGTTTAGACGCCGGGAATCTGGGTTCAATGAAACTCGTTCGCGAGATCTTATCGAAGGTAAACGCAATGGCGCGGCGCATGTACGTAGCCAGAATTTTCGTCTAGGAGATCGATTCCGGCGGAATGATTCCGCGGTTGACGGCTTCCTGCGGTTCTAGAATAAGGGTCCCCGCGATATTATCCGGGAACGTCGCGCTTGGAACGTCGCGAATGTAAACGAGCGCATTTGCCCGGAAGTAATCTCGATCGCACGCTTAAAGGCGCATGTAAATACCGTGCTGACAAACCAGCGCTTAAGCTTTCGCTCCGCTTCGATGCAGTAAATATTTGTTTCGCCTAGAAACACCGCGCGCGCGCGCGAGCGCACGAGCGAGCCGAATATATTTCTCCTTCGAATAAATAATGCCGCCGCTGCTCCGAGACGTACTTCTTCCGTCGCGAGACTCAGACCAGGCATTTTCCATTTTCTTCCCTTCTATTTATCTTCGTTCGTTTATTTTTTTCCACTCCGACGCGACGCGTAAACTTTTAATTTCGTTCGAAGCCGCCGCCGCCGCCGGTCGCGTCGGTCGGTCGCCCCTTCTCGACTTCAAATTGGAAATTGTGAAAGTTACGACCTATTGTTTCCCCGAGTTCCAAGAGATTCAAGAGACAATGTAAACTAGCCCCGGTGATTCATTAATTTTTACCCGTTAACTCGAATTCAAATTTCGAAAACTTCTCGACTCGCAATTGGCTATTGCGGAAGTTCGGGAGCCGCTTTCCGGAGCCCGTGAAATAAGCGGAGGTTCCCGCTGAAACGGCATGTTAATTCGTCGACTTTGTCCGACGATATTCTGCCGTGGAAAAGACGTTTCTCGACGGTTTTCTTTCGTGCGGGCGTTGCGACAGTTTCGCGCGGATTTTTGGCACGCATGTTCGCCAACGTTCAAAGCGTATAAATTAAATCATTATCTGCGAAGCAGATTTAATTATCGCGTGAATAAAACAATAAACTGATGCTCCGTAAATTTTCCTGTTATTTTAAGCTGTAAATATAAATTAAAAATACCACATTTGCTTATATTAATTATCCACACGAAATAAATCATACTAAATAAAGCACATTGACTAAACCATCTGGTTTACAGTATTAATAAATAAATCAGTTTTATAAAAGCAATAAAATCTAACATTTTACAGTGTGCAATCTTCTAAAAATGTATCTCATAATTTCCTGTACGTTTAATATTGATAATTTATCGACAAACCGATAATTCATCGAGAAACCGCAGTAATACCAACACTTACCCCGGTGATATTTATTTTTGACGCGGTGTGTGCTACTTACAAGGGTGCAAAATCGATTAAAAAAGGATCCTAATCGATCCTCAACATGCTCGTTTACATTTTCTCACAGAAAGATCCGCCGTTCCGTCGTGAGAAAACTATAATTTCAGTTTTAAAATTGCAGAAACTAATTTCAGATCTCACCAAGGTGTTGCTCAATCGTTAATTCGTTTAATCAGAGAAAGAATAGGTATCGTATACCGTCGGGTATCGGCATTCGGCCGTGCATCGTCCGAAAATGAAGGAACACAATGGAGCCGCGAGATTGATCGGTCAAATACGATATCCGTTTAAAGAACTCCGCTCGGGAACAATATGCCTCGGCGAGCCGCATTCGGAGCGGCGAGCCGAAATGATCACCGATTTAACAAAGAGTATCCCGAAGGAAGACTAATTGGCCGGTGTAATAAAAGGCCGCGATCGAGGAAACAATGTGTCTTCGGCTTCGCCGCGTTCGCGCGTCAACCGTCGGCCAGCGGCGCCGGTTGCCGCGGACGGCGGGAATTAATCAGCCGCGGTTTATACCGGCGGCCCGACAATGGCCCGTCGAAAAAATAGCAGAGAATTAAACGAAAGCCCCGACAAAAGGCGAAAAGACATAAAAGCCGACAAAAGGAAACGAGCGGCCTGGGACGGCGCTGAATCGACGCCGGCTGGCAACACCGCGGCCGACCGAAGACAGTGATGAATTATCGGTATGCGAGCGGCATACGCGAACCGTGGCTCGCCGTCGCTCAACTCGCGAGGCTGTGTTGCCGTTGCAGAAGCTAAATCGCTCGTGCACGTGGCAACGGGGCAAACGTGTACGGCTCGCCGGGAAATGGTCCCAATTTTCGACGGTCGAAGCGGCCTTTTCGCTCGAATAATCGACGGTTCCACATTTTCATTTTTTCCGCTGTTAATCCCCCGTAAAATCGTAATAAAAAAAGATATATATATATAGGAGCATGTCTCTATAAACTGCACTCTAGTGTAAACTATTTTCAAGCTTATTGTGCGAGAGGGTGTAATAATTAACTTCGTGCTGAACAGTTTTTATAATATTAATAATAATAATATAATATATTATAATATTATATGTATTTATATTTATATATATTTTTATAATGTAAACAAAATTTAGCTCCAATGGTGTGCCATACTGCTCAACTGTTTCAGTGTATTATTGTACGTACTATTGCATCGTCTGGTAAAAGGACCAATATGCAGGGTTATATCGCGGTTATGTCAAGATTATTATCCCATTCCCAAAATGATGTTACTTCCGGGAAATAAAGAATTCCTCGGGTCATTCGAAGCAACTTTTACCGTTGCAAGAATTTTCTCCGAGGCATCGTTGACGAGTTATTAAGGAAAAACAGTTCCGCCAATGAGCGAAAGTGGGCGTCGACGGCTCCTCGTCTCGGCCGCCTCGCGCCAGCCGAGCTCGCCTCTCATTGGTCACTGTTTTTCGCGAATAACTCGCAAACGAAGCCGCGGATTGCATTTTCGCTGAGGAAAAAGTTGCTCCAAATCACTTCAAGAACCTCTAATTTCTCGGAACTACCATAATTTCGAGATGCGTCGATTTCTAGCATTTCGCATTCCTACCAAATTAATGAAACATTATTCTCGTAGATAACTTACAGGTAATTGTAACGATTTCTTCGATCGAATACCATCCTCCAGTTGTCATAGACTCTTTCCCGCGAAGCGTTAACACGGATGAAGCTAAAATAAGCGGGAAAATGGGTGTCTCTCTATTCGGTTAAGGAAATCCGAGAAAGTTAAACGGGAACAAAAGAATAATAATTCTCCTCGTTAATCCCGCGGACCGAACATGTACGCCGGACGGTTCAAGTGGCGGAATTTCTATGGCAGCGCCACTTTAGTTCCGGGAGACGGTACGATATAATTGACGAAACGAAGCGGTCCGGGCTGCGCGAGCAGTTTAATTAGAGTCCACATTTGCCCGGTTACTTTCCAGCAGCCGGACCGGCAAGATCAACAGCAATTACGTCGCACTAAAGCTGAGGTCCGTATCGGCGAGGTTTCGCGTCCGCGGCGAGTAGCCTCCGCGCGCGTTCCGCTCGCGTTCCGTTCGCAGTTCGCTCGCGTTCCGTTCCGCTCGCGTTTCCTTCCACCTTCCGCTCGCGATTACTGTAACCGTAACGATCGCCACGCTCGTCCGAAGAATAAGAAGCGGCGCGAACCGTCGACGACGCCCTGGCTGCCGGCTGACGAGGGCGGCGGGGCGCGGCGGGGACGCGGCGGTCGGATTCACCTAATCCTAAGTAAACGGGCGGCCTCCACCTTCTCTCGCAGCTACCTGTCTGATCAAACATTTGTCTTTACTACTCGGTTGATTAAACGCTCGCCGAGTTTATATTGCATTCGAGAACGGCGCCGAGCCGCCTTCCGGTTACGTTCGATCCGCAGCGTGTCGCGAGAGACGTCCGGCGNTTTCGCGAATAACTCGCAAACGAAGCCGCGGATTGCATTTTCGCTGAGGAAAAAGTTGCTCCAAATCACTTCAAGAACCTCTAATTTCTCGGAACTACCATAATTTCGAGATGCGTCGATTTCTAGCATTTCGCATTCCTACCAAATTAATGAAACATTATTCTCGTAGATAACTTACAGGTAATTGTAACGATTTCTTCGATCGAATACCATCCTCCAGTTGTCATAGACTCTTTCCCGCGAAGCGTTAACACGGATGAAGCTAAAATAAGCGGGAAAATGGGTGTCTCTCTATTCGGTTAAGGAAATCCGAGAAAGTTAAACGGGAACAAAAGAATAATAATTCTCCTCGTTAATCCCGCGGACCGAACATGTACGCCGGACGGTTCAAGTGGCGGAATTTCTATGGCAGCGCCACTTTAGTTCCGGGAGACGGTACGATATAATTGACGAAACGAAGCGGTCCGGGCTGCGCGAGCAGTTTAATTAGAGTCCACATTTGCCCGGTTACTTTCCAGCAGCCGGACCGGCAAGATCAACAGCAATTACGTCGCACTAAAGCTGAGGTCCGTATCGGCGAGGTTTCGCGTCCGCGGCGAGTAGCCTCCGCGCGCGTTCCGCTCG